TCAGTGAAATGCAAACTAAGTTTCATGATGTCTCCCCATTCACGATTATTTTCAAATATATTCAATGAACGCAATTTTATTACTTGACAGAATACATAGTATATCTCCCTCCACCCACGCACTTTAAAATAAAAAAGAAAAGAACGGGTTACATTTTGAATATGATCGGGTAAGTATAAAAAAATGCAGTGTAATTGAACACCAATCGTTAAAAAAAAGGAAATGACATGATATATTTAATAATTAATAAAGTATAGAGTAAATGTGTTTTATATAAAATAAAAACAATAAATCCTTTAATGAATACGTTATGTATTTATAAGAATATATTTTTAAATATTCTTACGTTTATGTACCGAACATAACTTTTTAAATTTGAGAAATAATTAATGTATATTAATTTCAAATGAATCAACCTTTATATAGTTATAACCTATTTCAATTATACTATACATAAATATTATATATATCTATATATTTGTATATATTTTTATATATATTTATATAATCGAAATTGTATTTATTCGTGATATCTCTAAATAATTATAAACAATTTGATAAATATTACACCACTTTTGTTTTTTACTCTATATTAAAGACATTGAAATAAGAGAAAGTGTCAAAAAGTCTTCAAAATTAAAATTTTAAATACTTTATTCGTAATAATTCATAGGAATGTATAGCTTTATTGTTAGCATTCAAGATTATAATATACTATTTATGTTAAAAATTTAATTTATACCATACATTTATATTAATTATTTGGATCGTATATAAAAAAAGCTACTGTATTTCATATTAAAATATGGCAATATTATAAATAATGCAAATATTTGTAAAAAAATTATTGTCAGAGATTAAAATGGTAGAATGATTTAGAAGTATAAAAAAAATATATATATTTCAATAAAATCATTTTGAAAAACATAATCAATTTATTAATACATTTTTTCTAGTCTGGATCAAGAAATAAGATACAAATAAATGTTTAATTTACTTTGTTACACAGTAATAATTTGATAAAAGAATTTATGACATAATTATTGCAAAACAGAATAGAACAGAAATCACAATTGTACATGATCATGACTTCGTTTATTGGGTATTATGAAAATAAATATATTTAAAAATAAATTCTATTTAGATTACAATTTATAGATTTATTTATTCTGCAAAAATTATAAATTAGATTATCAGTTTTATTTATGAATAATATATTTATTGAATAATTGTAGTTGGAAGGAATAGTATTTATATTCAATAATACTTTTATAAACTTAAGCTATATAGAATATATTAAAAATATTTTTATTTAAAAATAATAATAAAATACTAAAATAATTCTAAAAATAAAATTTTTAATTTTACAACTATACTTTGGATATATTTGTAAAATTTTTATATTTTAATAATACTTATAAACGTATACTTATACATTATAAAATTAAATACTTTTATTTTATGAAGATTTGTAAAAAATAAAATTTAGTAGTTATTCTTTATACAAATATCAGTAACAATATAATCATGAAAATACTTTTACACAAAGCATACATTTTGGATTTACAAAATACAAATGTTACCTAATCATTTTGTAAAAAAAACTTTCAACAAATTTTAATAAATTATTCATTTTTGATATTACGATTTATATTTTTCAATTTCTTATTGCAGATCTTTTCTCTATATCCTCTATAATAATATAAATGACAAAGTAGAAATTAATTATCATGTACATTGTTCTATTACTCCCGTATTATTTGAAGTTATTTAGTATTTTTATTTATATTATATTATATTTAATATATTTAATATATTTAATATATTTAATATATTTAATATAATATATTAAATTATAATATATTATATATCTATAATATCTTTATCAATATATATCATAAACGTACTCCAATTTTGGTAAAATTGAATAAATCATCCTAAGCACTACGGCGTTAAAGAATTGTAAATATAATAGGCGGCGAACAGCGTGTTCATAACCCCAAAAATGCATCTGAATATTCATTCAACTCAATAAAAAAATTAAATTATAATTAAACATCAACTTTGTATTATTTTGGAAAATGGAATCTCACCTAAGTTTCATATCCAGTTGACGTTAATTGTCGGTTCGTTGCCTATCTTATAATGAAATAAAATAGTGCTTCATCGATTCACGCATTCAACATATTCACTAATTCGAACAACGTTAGGCTTATGAAAAAAATAAATATAATGATATTAATTTGCTTATAAATGGGGACATATGTAAATAATAACGGTATAAAAATCACAAACACTACACTTCTCAAATTTCTAGACGTAAAACCTATAATTCTCGCTCTATGAAAGATTTATTTTTATTTTCATGTTATATACACTATATATTTATAAACCATATGCGTCCATATACACAAATTTGACACTTCTTTACAAATATATTTTTAATACAAATGGTATGAAAATTAAAAACAACATATGGGTTACAAGTTATCTTAAAAAAAAAGCGCGCGCGATTATTCACACCAACGAATTTTATGATTTATCGTGGCCAAGGAAATATTAAAACAATGATAGGTATCTATACGTGATACAGACAAAAAAGAAAACTAGCGCCATCTCTTAGTTATATTCATTTGCCTGAATTGACGTCGATAATGGACGAAATATTCGTTATTTGTTAACGGCAATGTGCGTATAATTATTTACATTATAGTATTATTATATAACCTCTCATATTTAACTCATATCTCATATCTCAACTTTTTTTTAATTAAGTAAATTATGTATGCGATTATTTTAAACTTTAATATTTTTTTATGATGAGAATATTTAAAAAATGATAAATATTTTCTTAAATAAAGTGATTTTGTTTTTAAATAATAACTATAATTTAATTGATTTAAAAATTTTTAATAAGATATACTCGATCAAAAGAAAAAATTTTCTATTACTTCTTACGAATAATAGAAAAAATATTTCAATCGTATATTTTATTAAATATCAATGTATTAATTCATCAAAATTAAGATTACTGATAAAATATTTTAATTATAAAAACGATGGAATAGTCGATTATACACAATTAATTTTTTTCATAAACAACTGTTTGTCATTTAATAGATAATTTAATATTGATAAAGTTTTTCAGAGTTCATACTATTGGTTATATTAAAAAATAGTTTAAATTTCCGATTAAATTTCCAAAAATACATATGCCATCATATAGTGAAGAGTTATGTAATGAAAAATACGTTACATCTTATAAAATAAGTACCATTTCTGCAATTAATATAAATTATTATATATTACCAAACAATAAATAACCTTTTAACCGAAAAAAAAATTTTATTTTTGAAAACAGTAACGACTACCATATTTTTATTTAGTTATATATAAACTAAACCTATGAAATTATCTATCTATTAATCATATTATTAATTATCTATCAAATTATCAAATTGTCTATTAAAATTATGAATTAGTAAGACCAAATTTTTTCTAATATAATATGCAAATATTATGTATTTGTATTAAATTTTATTTATAAAGTTTAATAGATTTGTAATAATATAGTAATTTTGAATAATTATATGAAAATTGTCCATTAATATATGGCTTTTTAATTTAATACGCAAGAATTATTTACAATATTGAATAAAATGCTACTTCTATGTTGTGATGCTTAATTTTTTCTTAAAAATTCGTATTATAATAGATTGAGAAGTTTCAAATTTTTGTATAATTTAAAAATATCATTGTAATTAATAACAACGTAATACATGTAATACTGAAAATTCTAAATAATTATAATAATGAATATTTATGAATATTTTAATTCTTTAAAAATACAAACAAAAACAAATATTTAGCGTAATTTCGCTAATTCAATATTTTAGTAAATATCATGTAAGAAATATTAATTTATTTAATTTTACTTTGCAATGAGGTTAGAAAATTTTTTCCAATAAAGAAAACAACGCCGTTTGTTTATTCAACAAGTTAATAGACTTAAAACAATAGGTATCTCATGATATTTTTTTATAATAATAATAAATGTTGCATAAACATTTATTGTGCGTAATCATAGCTGCAAATATGTCGATAAAAATTATAAAAACCGACAAACTTTTGTGCTCTGTAGACAGTTGGAAAGTATTACATATAATATACGTATATATACCAAATATGGCATAGAAAAAATAAAAAAAAAAAATAAAAAAACTTGTAGAGAAACACTTAAACCGAAATACTAAATTTTTCTATATATATATATATATATATATGGACTTATATATATATTATAAAATTTATAGAATTTAAAATTTATAGAAAATTTATAGAAAAATGTATAGACATACAAATGGCTTTACGCATAAAATATCATATTACCTACCTTTTATATTATATTAATCACCTTTCTTACGAGCGCTGTAAAAAACAGTAGGAAGAACAGAAAATGAGTAAAAAATGCACCAAGACTACTTATTCTTAACTTATGTTCATTATACCTGGTTTCATCTTTTAAAAGCTAGCGGAATATTGCAGCCAATCGGAACGAAACCATATTGCGCAAACTCGTGATAAGGAGCTGAAAACGACGGTCGGTAATGTTACCACATTAACATAGGACATGAGCCCGTAGAGGGTGAATGCGCGTGTGAACACGCGTCTGAGAACGGCGTGCGTGACAGCGAGGGTGAGGGAGAACAACGAGGAAAGGGAAAAGAAAAACAAGTTGAGCGCTGTTCGTAATACCCCAAAGATAATATAGTACTACGCGTGTGGTTAAGGTGCGGAACTAGGAGAAAGGTGGTATCGCGCATTAGCTGGCTTGCGTTAAGCCTTGAAGAAAGAAAGAGAGAGAGAGAGAGAGAGAGAGAGAGAGAGAGAGTAGATAGAGAGCGCTAGAAAGCAATAGACAAAAAAGAAATAGGGCTGGATATAGGAGGTGTAGGCTACAATAGTTAAACGCGGATGCGCACGCGACAAAGTCTAGCACATCTCGGGTACACGAGACTCATCTTCCAGGTTTACGTCGATCTCGTTTGTCATCATCTAGGTGCAACTTCATCCAAGGAAAACCGCTCGAGAGGCAAACGGAATGCCGTCATGAGAGGCAAGTCACGGCCCGGTCGCGTGAGAGGCGCATTGCGTCAAGAAGCAGCAGTAACGGCATGCGTAAAACGCCCGTGATGAGAGCCCGAAGACCGCGCGAGCCCTGAGAGTACGCGTCATCGAGGAAGCCTCCTGGCCAGTCGACACCGTAGCCATGAATTTTCTCAACACGATCGCTATCGGCGCGGTCGCCGGCTCCGACTCGGCCCTTCAGCTCAACAATGTAGAGATCATTTATTCAAAAGTGCAACGAGTTTACTTTAAGCCCCAGCATAAAGAGGAAAGACAGAAGGATCTAAGAGTCAACGTCGAAATACACGCGGGCCTTAGTCCCGTCTGTCGTAAGGTAAATTCAACGGCTTTTCTCCCTGACCATTGCTATAATTTATAACCTCACTTTTTCTGTCTCTCGTACGCCCCACTATTCATCCTCTCTTTTCTCCCCGCTAACTTGCTGCTCTTGTTCGGTCCCATATTTGTCGTTTTCAAGACTCCCCTACCTCGCTCACGACATCATTCTGTCTTTATCTGACACATGATCCGTTACTTAAATTTGTTTTGTTGTCTGTAAACAAAATTCAAGAAACTAACGTCTGTTTATGACGAGACATTTGTTTAACTTATTGATGCAAATCTTGAATTAAAATAGTTAATTTAATTTTGTGTTTAATAAAATGAAAATTAAATTTTCATTATTGCCCATTCCATATTAGCTAACATGGAAAATTATAATTAAAAATTTAAGAAATAATTTCTTTACAAATTTCTATTAAGTTTAAATCGAAAATTTTATTGATTTTATATGCATTTTTTTATCAATTAGTTTTTAAAATAAATTTCAGATATAAATTTAAATAAAGTTTATATTAAGCGTACAATAAATACATAAAAATGGATAATAAATTATTTATTTTATTATAATAATAATTCATAACAATTTTCAATTATTTGAAACTTAATATTGTGATACCTTGAAACCATGTTTGTTGCATGGTTGTAAGCACTTTGTTGTAAATTGAGATTTTATATAAAAAATTCATAAATTATCTTTCATATTTAAATACATATAACTCAAATTTGCCATTATATATTTTTGTATTAATTTTATAAGAATTATAAAAATAAAATTTTAAATAAAGTTTTAGATTTTAAAAATAATTCTTATCTTAATATTGGCTATATTTTTATTTTAATAGTATGAAGTATATTTATAATGAGTCTTAATTATATAAATTGATTACAATTTACATAATTAAAGTACTATGATAATTTGCTTTTTTTTTTTTAAATTTTATGTTAAAAAATGATTGAAAATTGTAATGAAAATATAAATTTTATTTTAATTCTTAAATATTTTAGTAAACATTTTGAAGTAAAATATTATTTTATAAACGCAAATACTTTCAAAATATTAATAAATCTTGTTAATTAAAAATAATTTTAATACTTATTTTTCAGGCTCTTTGTGTTCTCCTGTCAGATGATGATGATCCATGTTTTTTATATTCTTTGTTTATCACAGATGATGATTTTAAAGTATTAAAAGCCCAACAAGGCCTTCTTGTAGATTTTGATAATTTTACAACTCAGTTGATATGTTTACTGGAACAATGCCAAGTTCCAGTTGCTAGTTTACCTAAAACAGCAAAATTTTTATTGCTTTTGGCTGAAGAAGGTGGAGATTGGAGTTTTCAGTTAGTAGAAACCAATAAAATTAAACATCTTTGCCATTTAAGTCTAAATATTGCACCAGCCACTGATGCAGATTTAAAGACACATATGGCTATGAAAATAAAAGGTTTAAAAGAAAGCATAATGCAAAAAGACAGAGATCTTATGAACTTAGAAACAAGAATGTCCGAATGGAAAAATAAACTGGAATCAAAATGTAAAGATTTAGAGCAATATGAACAAAAATGTATTACTGAAAAGACACAATTACAAATGAGTCTTTCTCAACAAGTTTCATTAGAGAAGGACAGGCTAGTACAAGCAAGATTGGAGTGGCAAAATCAAACTGAAAAGGAAAAAATGGAATTTGAATATAAACACAGTGAAATAATAAAGCAATTGCACACTGAAGTTGCTGAACTAAGAATACAAAACTCAAGTTATAAAGATAAGCAGTCATTATTGGAAGCAACTAATAAGGAGCAGTTAAAGCAACTTCAAGAATTAGAAAAAGAACTTAATATGTTACAACGCGATTTTTCTACAGTAAAACATCAAAATGTAAAGCTTAATACTGATTTCCATGAAAAGGATAAATTAGTGAACACACTTTCCACAAGAGTAGCAGTTCTTGAACAAGAATTAAAGGATAAAATAATATTAATCAATAAACATACAGAGATGATAAAGAATATAAAGGAAAGCAAACAAAGACTGGAAGAATTGCTTGCCGAAAAAGAAGCACAATTGCAACGAAAACAATCATCTTTAAAGAATTTGGGTGACGAACTCGTAAAGGCTAATGAAATTTTAAGTAAGTTGCAAAATGAATTAACATCGACCAAGTCAAAACTAAAATTACGAACAAGTATAGCTCTTGAGCAGGAGCGACTTTTAGATAGCAAACAAAAAGAAGTTGGTCAGTTAGAAAGTAAAGTGGATACATCTGCCAAAGAAAATCGTGAAGCTAAAGCAAATATCGATGATTTGAAAGAGCAGTTAAAGGCATTACGAAGTCAGTTGGAAGAAAAGGAAAAAACAATTAAAAATAACGATAATGTCATAAGTTGGCTAAATAGAAGGTTAGCTGATGTGCATTCACCTATTCAAAGTGTGACAGCAACTACTTCTGTAACAATGCCACAGTCTATGCAGTTGACTCTGCCCAGGACAAATAAATTTATGCCTAATAGATTTGAGACACGAACTCCAGCACCTAGTACATCTCAACCTGTGTCACTCTCTGGTCTTCCTCTTAGAAATCCAATTGTACAAAACCCAAACATTAATCAAACTTCTAGGACTTGTGGTAGATCAATGGGTGTTGGAATTACTGAAAATTCACCTGGAATAAATTTCAAAACAGGACAGATCTCTAACACAAGCACACCAGTTGAACGAGCCAATTCGCTAAGTAAAATATCAAGTGCTAACTCAGTACCAGCTATCATTGAGAACAATAACGTGCCAGCTCCAGCAATGAATGGCATCAAACCAAAAAGTGTAGGTAGTTCTTTACAGGGTGGCTTAAGACGTGTAGTACTAGATAAACCTTTATTGCCTTCGGCCTACTTTCCTAAAACTTTACATAATCAATGACAACAAAAAAATAAGGTTCACCTTAAAATTTAAAAAGATATTTATCTTTTATAGTACCTACAATAGACTATCTTAGATGTAATGTTGCTAATAATGTGCATTACAACGAAATGTTAATACTAAAAGTAGCTTATAAATTCAAATTTTAATGTGATAAAATTAGATATTTCAACATATTTTATATTATTAATTAATTTTTAGATTTCTGCTATTTTTATTTACTGAGAGTGTGTAAATAAAATTTCAAATTGATAGTTTGTCTCCATTAAAATTAATAAATTAAAAAAAACATTTATAATATAACTGGATATAGTAAAATACATTTTATTTGTTATAGTTTTGTTTTATACATAAAAAATGATACATAAAGATTTAAAAGTAATATAATTACTAATTATACTATTACTCACACTCATTTATAATGTATGAACCAATCTATTATAATTGTTTGCCATATAATTTGAATATCTTAAGCCATGTGTAGAAAACAAAATTCTAATTCATTTGACTGTTCAGTAAATTATGATACATTTCACTTTTACAGTAAAATTTGAAACATTAAAAAAATTTCTGATAAAGAGATTAATAGCACATCTTTTGGACTACGAAAATATATTTATAAAATTTTAATATATTCATTAGGCAATTGAAATTACATAAGTATTTTTGATGTTCAATTACTAAATGTTTATTTGAATTAAATAGAACTTTGTAAGTGAGTACATAAATAAGAAATTAATTAAAGAAGTAGAAAAGTTTAAGAATCTGATGGGTGAACAGCGAATTATCACCATAAAGATACTAATAAATCTTTTCAATTCCAAATCGTACATCATAATATGCATAATAGTATAATTATAGAAATAACAAAAAATTTCTTCTAATATTCTTCTAATATTAATACTGCAGTCCAAGTTGTTTAGTACCCATATATAGAATATACATACATTCATACATAAATATGTGTGTGTGTGTGTATATATATATATATATATATTAAATATCATTCTACAAACCTATAGCAAATGATTTACTTTTGATATTGATTCATATTTTAATATGAATGATTTTCTACTATAGCAATATTCGAATTCTGATATATTAGATATTCAAATTTACATATCAGTTATGATTATTATTAATCGAAGAAAAAAAATGGTTTAAAAAATTATAACATAATCTTTAACTGTTATAAATTTCAACTATTGTTTTTATTTTATATATTGAGTTGCGCTAAAGTTCGTCACTATTTTCAATAATATAAGTATGACTGATAAATATGAATTTAAAAAAATCCTCATAAAATCGTATTGTTCAAGAGTAATTTAATATATACTTTAATATGATGTAACTGTTGATTGCAATAATTTGTTTGAATACTTAATTGGTATTTTTGAAGTTGAATAGATAGCAGTCAATTTTAAAGAATTTAATAACAGAATTTATGTGTTATGTTTCCAAATTTGCAAATTAAAAATCTATTAACAGATTTTTCCAGGTATCAATGATAAAAACAATTTTATAATGTTATACATTTATTTATACAATAATTTATTTTTAGTTTAACATTTGAAAACATTTATTTCTTATTTTTATACCAGAATAATACAATTTTTACTTTCTTGGTTTATACATATATATATGTTTATATTTATTCACTACTTGATTCTTTATTTATATTTTAGATTGAACATAATGCAATTATATAATATGACTACTTATAAGATCAAAATGTAATGTATTGTGAGAAGATCATAGTAATACAAGTTTCTTTCATGATTAATTTTTGACTGTCAGTATACAATTTCGCATTCTTTATACACTCTTGAATTTGAATTTTACCGCACGTATAATAAAATCGGCCATAACACTCGGTTGCCTTATTAACTATTTCTCGAATGTAATTACGAATTCGAGTAACATCATTTTGTGATTTATTACCTTTGTTTTGTTGGTGTTGTATTATCTAACTAAAATAATATATTATTAGATTTTGTACCAAAATCTAGGAATGTTTTGAAATCTGAGTCAAATTTTTTATACTGCATTTACTATATTTTTATTTTGTTTAATATCAAGAAACATTGAGTTTAATACTATTTTTTACTAATACAAAAAAATACGTACTGACAAACTTGTGAGGTGGTCGCTTATCCATTATATTTCACATAATAGACATCTTATCAAATTTAAAATGACAAAATTTGCCTTATTGACATTACTTAAAGATATTCAATTGGATGCCTCTTAATTATTATTTTATTTAAGTGTTGTGCATGTAGAGTAAAGTTCTGAACTCGAAAATGAACAGTTGAGCTATGTTACTGATTATGTGCTAATAAGCAAATACTCCTCAAGTTTAATCTTTGACGAACTTAAAACAACATTGATAGTAAATATTAATTTTTCACAAAATGCAATTATCTTCATCTTAATCATGAAGAAATTTAAAAATAACATGTACAGAAGAAAGCTAGTCTTTATGTGTATGCATCAATTGGTATAGTTTACTGTAGCCAAGAATGTTATCATCTAATAATCGATCTTAAATTTGAGACATCAAAGTGTCGTACAAATAATATTTTTGTCAAAATGCTTATTAAAAAAATATTAAGAAACAGTTATTGGAGCATTATATACATCTATTATGATCTCTATAAATATAACTAACCGATGGCTTATCTCATTAACTCGAGTTTAATATTCGAGTATATTTGAAATAAATTTTTCAAAAACATTAAGGTGATTACCCATGCAATTCACGGTAAAAGAAATTATTCTGTAACTACCGTGTTTGATTGTGATAAAACTGTTATTGCTATATAGTGATGTCTTTCTGTTCAGATCTAATAAAAATCTAAATTTATCAATATATCATTAATTGAACATAAGAAAAAAATAATAAATTTTAGATTTTCGTATCTACGTGTTCAATTTGTATAAGGAAAATATAATGCTTGATGTACATATATGTAGGTTTTTAAAATTCTTAAAAATTTATTAAAATATTCTTTGCCCTAATGATTTAATTGATCAAAGTAAAAGTTATTTGAAAATATATAAATCTCTATTAAATGCACTAAAAGTATTTAAATTTATTTTTAAATAAATATATTTTGCAAAATAATATTACTTCAAATTAAAGTAAGAAACTTGTTAACAATTTTAAAGTTTTAAGGTATTATAAATAAAGTAAAATATTTTAATTACTATATTTCGAATAATATTTTTCAAATATATCGACACACAAAGTTGTAAATTGAAAACAAATCATTAATAAAATAAATAAAAGTATTATTTATAATTAGTATCCTAGAGGAAATATTACACTTTTGGGATCTTTATGGTTTATATTATTTTTTAAAAATGTGACTGAACAATTAAAAATATATTTATTTAATAAAATTTAATAGAATAATATAATAGTTTATTTTTCCTAATTAAGAATGTTGAATGATTTTAATAGTTTAAACTATATTTTTAAGTAATAGATATAATTTCAATTTTGAAAATTTTGAAAACCTATAAATATTTTTTTTAATTTAAGGTGAACTCTAAATAACAACATTAAAAGAACTAGTTTTATATACTGCAAAGCTTGATAAGAATAATTATTTGTAATTATTAAATTGTTTATAATATTTCTTATTTAACAAACACAAGAGTACAAATGTGTAAACAACTAAGAGGATCTTAAATAGTTTGTGAAAGGTATACTTTCATGCCTATTTAACACATTATAATTAGTTTTTAGTTAAGTATACAAAAGAAAAATAATATTGTATAAATTTATGTAATTTTTACTGTATTTTTATATTATTTTAATTGTAAATTAAGTAAAGTAAAGAATGAGATTATTTGAAACTTAAGAAAAAAGAGAGGCATTTAAATATTGTGTGTAGTCTAATTGTAGATTTTATATTTTTTTATCTTACTGATAATAAATCGTAAGGTGAAGTGGATTAAGTACCTGGCTAAACAATTTTCAAAATTATCAGTAATGAATAATTTAAAAGAAAATAAATCTGAATGGAAAAGAATGTATTGATTGAATTTTGAGTCAATTATGCTCTCTAACTTCTTGTTTGGAACAACAGTATTAATTATAACATTCAGTATAAATACAAAAAAAAAAAAAACAAATCTAAAAAAAATGACTATTGTAATAAACAACCGTGTCTTTTTATTACTTTTGTACATAAAATTAAAATAAATATACAAAGTTAATCGATAAAAAAGTCTATCTATTTATATAATTAACCTGTGTTATTCATAAACGACTATTATATATTTTGTTTATTTCATGTTAATTAATATCTAAATTAAAAATCTTCAAAGCATCATCCTTTGCAATGTTAATGACGGAAAGGTATTAATAAAGTGTTTTACATTGGCAAGCTATTTAATATTAATATGATATGTGAATAATATACTCTTTGTACAATAGTACATTATTCTCATTTTTTGTTTTTGAATACTGCTATTGTAACATAATCCAAGGATATGATCAAGTTGTGGCGATTGTTGGTGATAATGTAGCTTCACTACAGATGTCAGGGCTTTCCATATTTAATAAAGGTAAATCCATTCGCTTACGCTTGCGTTCGCATTTTGGACAGGGTTTCTTTGCATTCAAACAATTTGAATGGAAAACTGCATTACAACTCCCACACTAAAATTTATTTAAAAATATTATATTTCATTAACTTTTTAATTACACAGAACAGTGATTAAAAATTAGTGTAGTTTAAAAATAAATGCACTTTAAAATCTATTTGAATTTTTCTAATTATTTTACAATTATATATTATTGTTTTTTAATAAAATATTTATCAATATAATAATAGTTTGCAGAATTCTTACGAAAAGTAAAATTTTTATTTTAAATATTTTAAATACATAAGTAATTTCATATAAGTATTAATTTTTGTAGTAAATTTAAGATAATCATTGTGTAAATGATTGTTTCTACTAGTTAATAATTAGTTAATTATTAATTTAATCACATATCACAAAATTGAAATTTCATTAAATTCACAATAATATCTATAATAGGCTATTATTTGTACAAATCAATAATATTGAAATACTAAGTACATTCATACAAGAATAAATTTAAAATATTTATTATTAAAACAAAACTTAATTAAAATTATTTTATATACATAATATTTTTTAATTTATTAAATTATCTAAATAATTGTAAAATAATTATACTTATTTTAATGGAATTTTTATAATAAAAATTGTTTACTACATTTTAATTTATTTTTAATTCTTATGAAATAACAGAAATTTGATTAAATCATATAAATAAAACGATATAAAATTATTTTACATAGTTAAACTAAGTTGTTTTATCTAATATATTTACAACTTAATGATCTTTAAATTGCTGCAGTTTGACATATCAATTTAAAATATTGTTTAAAATAATTTTAAAAGTATCATTAGTGAAGTGTAGAAAATTAAATACAGCATTTACAAGCAATTAAATCAAGAAATATTTATATTACTGTAAATTGTTGATTGCTCTATATTTTAATCGAGTGGGTGTATTAAAATGACATTAATTACTGTATAAAGTATAATGTATAGTGTATAATGTATATACACTAAAGTAATCAGCAATTTTTAAATCTATTGTTAAATATAAAAATATTTATAATATATGCTTTATATTATAAAAAATATAAAGAATTAATTTAATTAATTAATTTTCTTTATATTGAAAATTAAATATAATTAATACACTTCCTTTAACTTTAATGGACAAATATGTTGTGCTTTATCTATTTGTATATAAAATATAAGTCAACTTAGAAGTATAATTTTATCAAGTGATAAAAATAATCTCGAAGAACACTTACTCGGTAAGTAAATTGCGTATCAAACGGATAAATAACTTTTGGATTACTGCAGACCTCGCAAATGAATCCTTTCTGACTGCAAAGCCAACAGTTTAGCACATGATTTCTCGCAAACTCTACTACTTTTTGAAGATGTTGTGCCAGAGTTCCGTTTGGGATATCAGCAAGATCAGAAACAGAATATTGGTGAACATGCTCGTATAGATAATCTCTCGGTGTGACTTTCTTTTGAAATGATTCTATAATTGGCTCGCGACAAGTAAACAAATATGCTCTCAACAAATTTAGCTGGACCCTCAATGTCTGCAACTGCGCCATACAATCCACGGCAGAGTATATTTTTGGGTTGATAAGTTTTAGATCGAGCAAAGTTGAGCATTCAGTAAGGTATTTAGCAACCTTTATGCATACTGGATATTGCTTCAAATCCCAATTATGAATGACACGCGAGGGAATGAGATGTTCCTCAACGGCCATACAGTTGCAGCAAAAGTAATCGCCAGAGAAACAGCAAACGTTGGCTTTGCTAAAAGTCAAGCCGATCAATTGCCCGCACTCAAGGCAGTTATAGTTCTGGAGGTCAAGTCCCTTTTCCCGGGCGAGTATTCCTAATTGCTCGTCGAAGCTTCGTCTTTCATGCGGTTCTGCGTTGTCCATAATCGCCGATGTCACAGGCTCGTACACAGGGTATATCGCTAGGAGATCCTCTAGATTTGGTGTGTCATGACTTCCAGTGTGGTAGCTTTTGAGCAAAGCGTCATAGGTCGGACCCTCGATCGATGTTTGCGGACAATCACCAACCGAGTTCTTTGAAATTATCGACGAAGTCATGGATGATTCGCAATCTTCATTAGAAGTTGACCAGCCGAGTTTACCGATCAAAGAGTGACCGACAGTCGTTGACGTCGCTGCAATTGCCACATTATCGTTGCTCTCCTCTTCTTTGTTATCCTTACTTTTTTCGTGACTACTTTCTCTCGGAATATATTTAACAGCTTCTACCTCCATGACCGTTGTTCTATTAACTTCGGTGTCTTTGTTCGAACTAAAAGATGCTTGAGCAGATAAAGCTGTTTCGATATCAGCGACATCCAAATGATGTAATTTCTTTGCCAGCAGAACCCTTAACGAGTCGTCTTCCGAAAAGCCATTGAGATTATTTTGCGAAGAGCTAAAAGAACTAAAACTGCCAATTGAACTGGCTGTCTCGATCTCGTCTAGGCTATTTTCATTGTCAGCGCGCTCACTATTTATGGTCTTGGCGATGTCGACAGCACTGAAAATAGGACAGGACTTCATAGGGGGTGACCATATTGCAGCCATTAGTAGCGGGGTATTCGACCAGTAGTTCAAAAGGCTCGAGTTCATTACTAAATCAAAATGAATGTAATCGATGCTTTCGATCAGTCGTTGTGCAACTTCCAAAAGGTCTGCATCTCGGATAAAAGCGGCGCGAGAATAATAGGGTTTTAAGGCCGAATTGTCCCGGCGAATAGCCGCCAAGTAGCTGGATAAAAGACCCTCGTTCAGTGCTAGTCGAATCCAGGCTCGGCAGTAGCCAACTTCTGTTGTCAACTAAGAAGAAAAATTCAATTACATTTCATATTTAATTAAATTATGATTAATTTAATATAATATTTTAATTGATATATAATATACAATGTATAATATAAACAATGTTAAATATGATTTATAGTATGCCGGGTAATACGAATTCTAAAAAGTTACTTTTTTTACATTGAAAGCAGTATGTGTGTATACATTTGAAAAAACCACTCACATTTTTTCATTAAACAAATGTAATGTAAAAGCTTTAGAATACAGCTTATTTTCAAATTCAGTGTTTTGTGTAGAAAATATTTTCATAACGTATAATACAAATGTAATATAATTAATATATAATTATTTTCTTAAAAATTATTTAATTTATTTTAAGTTTATTTAAAATAATTAGAAGGTTATTATTACTTACTTGGTTTAATAAAAAAAATGTTCATAAAAAGAAAATTATTTACTTCGTCTGTTTCGATATATTAAATTTTGAACATTTATTAAAGATGATCAAAATCGATTTAATCATTTTAAAGATATATTTTTTACATTATATACAATTTATTAATAACAATTGTATGCATTAGACAATATGAATTTAACATTTTACTAAATTATAAAGTATTTATAATATACGTCAATTACATATTATATGTAACATTATAATATATAAACTAATAATAATTACATAGTGTACTTTATATACTCAAATTATAGATTCAATTTGTAAAGAATTTCATTCTAAATAATAAAACCAGGCTTTTCTACAATAAAAAAATTATTTATTTATTTACGGCTTTTATTTTATTTATCCATAATTTATATTCAATAATTTTGGTGATTTATGTTAATAGCTTTTTGAAAATATAATACTAAAAACTAATCTACTAAATAAATAAATTTGCCCTAATTTTATATTTCATATAAAGATTAAATTTAAAAATAACAATTCTTATAACAATAATTTTTATAAAAATAATTTTTCTAAAATTTTAAGACAAAGTATGCATGTCACTAAGCAGGATTTTTTTAAAAGCAAAACTACATATTTTAACAATTATTTAAATTTTCATTGTACAAAATTCCTCGAATTTTAATAGTAGAAACATAATGCAGTATAAACAATCTAATAAGTTGAATTCTATAAAAGAACAAAAAAGATTTTCAAACTAGAATATCCTTTCATTATTGGCTACAACACTCATTTACAATTAATATTTTAAAAAACAATTAGAAAGAGCAATAACTGAATAAAAGTTCGTCGAAGGACACAGAGCATTCATCGATTGACGAACCTGGCTAAAGGACTGGATTTGATCGATAATTTCTCTGTGGGAAAAGACGAGAAGTGGTCCCCAAAAGCTCGGTTGAGGCATTGCATCATAATCAGGCCCGCTGATAACCTCGGTAACGCGGTTCAAAAGACTATCCTTCAAGCCGTGCAGGAATATTGCCTCAAAGGCTGAACAAATAGAGAGTGCCTCGTCGCCGACCTTCAAGGCCGAGCTGTTTGGCAGTCCGGCAGCGCCCTGGATCTCGATGACTGTCGAATTGAGTTGCTGCTGAAGGGATTCACGAACTAGCATATTTTTCCGATTGGAGACAGAGTTGACGGTGCGCAGTAAAGAATTCATCTCACAGTTGTGGGTCTTTTGTTCTGTGAATGGATTGTCGAACACCTCTTGTTAGAAGCGTAACTTTCGTTGTACTTCTGCTGATGATACCAGATAAAAGTCTTATCATCCTGTTGCCACCCGCTGATCTGAATTAACAGGCTTAACAACATTTTTCTATATTATGTAATACACTGAATCTACAAAAGCTTATCTACTAATACATTTGCTTATTATCTTATACATAGTTTTATTTTCACTTGTATTGATTATAATAAGAGAGTGTCAATTCAATTAATATCAGTAATTATCTAGATAAATTGCTTATACTTACATTATTCAACATTATTTTTATGCTTAAATTATAAATGTATATCTATAGGTATAGATTAATAATTATTCATATAAATAAGGTTTTTTTTAATTACGCATATTAAATTATTTATATAATGGTTGATACAATTTAAAAAGCTTATCTGTTGCTTACACAATAGATTTTGCCTAAATAGAAAATTTTCAAATTAAAATTACAATCCATATTGATAAGATATCTATAAATTGAATGAAAAAATTTTAAGCTAATTGTATAAGGTAATATCCAAATTTATGAATTTTTATTAAGGTTTTCATCTTCAAAGTATAGACAAATTACTTTCTAATTTATGAATAAAATAGTACATTTTCTCTTTATATTATAATATAATATAGAAATAAATTATATATAAAAATTTAGCAATTGAAAATAGTATAAAAGTTTAAATTTCATATTTTGATGAAATTTAGTATACAGTATTGTTACTGTATAACAGTATTCTAATTAATTTTAATAATATAAAAAATGTATGTATTCATAATTTAATAATAATATTTCTATTAAAAAATATTCTGATATTATATATTTTTTTACAAATAATTATATATAAAGTAATTGTTTTATTATATTGATGATTTAAACTTTATTAATTATAAATGAAATATAATTAAATGTATATATTGATCATCTCATTTTTCTATGTCATACGGATAAATTAATACAAAATAAAAGTATACATTTGTGATTTATGTCGTTACTTATTAATTGAATAATTGAACAGTTGGATAAGTTTAATGAATTTAAACAACATTAAAACTATAAAAGTTTAGTTGAAATACAATGTAAATTTTAAAAGTAGTATTAAATAATATCAAAAGTAAACTTTCACACATAAACACTTCTTTGATATAAATTAAAACAATATAATCTTTAAAAGTAAAATTAGAAATTTGATGCTTAATGTAATTTTGATATTAATGTAAAAAACAATTTTTTGTAATTGGTATGGATTCATCGACATAATAATTTTATCTTGATGAGAATCTAGTATAATTTTTATTTGTTTTAAGTATTTACAAATAAAGGTATCGAAATATTTTATAAGATATAATAAAACACAATTAGTCAATTACTATTCAACTATTCAGATGCAATTGCCATCAATTTTCAAGTATTCAATTTTGCATATCTCCAAATTTTGAAAATTTTCACTTATTTACTGATATAAAAATCAAATACTTACTTCTCAATAATCACGCATTCCAAATTTATTCTTGTAATCATCGTTAATTATGTAAAAAGGGCTCGACATTTTAGTGTAGACAGCAGATTTATATATGGTCTGAATTTATCAGAATGCGGAAATGAATCAACATACAGATATTGTTTTGACTCTGAGGAATTGCGTGAACTTTAACCTACAAAGATCACGAAATAGTTACGTCGAAAGTTCTTGGTTATTTTACCATCTGTACGATTACAACTCGTGCAAATAGATAAGGAGGTTAGGTATGGTTTGTTTGCATGCATTTATGCATATATATGTATGCATGTCTGCATATATCTATAAATATGTGCGTGCATATTTCATTTTATTTTACGCGTTAAATAGTGCATACCCTTATTGACGTATTTCTTACTCTTTCTGAATTACTATCTTAATTCTTTACTATCACAACAAATGAGAGAAATTTGGTAATCGACGAATCGAATAAAAAAAACATTAAAACAGTGAAATTTCAGAGCACGAATGTACTACGTAGAAACAAAACAATGTGACATTCCTCGATAAGGTTATATAGCTTTCAGATTGACGTAATGATTTGTGATTAACACAAATGAATCTCGACCGATCAGCTGTTTTGCCGTCGCAACATCCACAATAGTAAGACACTGTCTCATCGATGAAAGCCTTAATAATTAAATGCTTTGGCATTAATGAAAAGCTTAGTTCGGCTGACGTTGGTAAGAGGGAAGCCTATGTTTCATTATTGTACACTGCGACGATGCACCTGAGCTACGCAACACGATGTACATTATAAGACTCGCTTAAATGCTTAAAATTGAAATAAAATAGCGGGTCATAAATTAGTTCGAAAAGATTATCGATTGTCATATTCTTTATAATTACATTAATATTTATAACAACAACAACAACAACAACAACAACAACAACAATAATAATAATAATAATAATAATAGTAATAATAATAGTAATAATAAATATAATGATTGATATAAAAAGTTGATATGAAAAGTTAAATTACTACAAATTATATAATTATATCTGAAAATGTTTGAATTATTTTTTATAATTAAGATTAAAAGATTAGTTGTAATAGCTACTGCATGTAATAATTTTGTACATTTTTTTTAATTATATGTTTTATTAAATTTTATTTATTTATAACAATAAAAACAACAATAACAAGAAAAATTATATATTACATAAAATTTATGTATTACATTAAAAATCGGTGAATGTATATTTATTAATTTTGTTATAATCAAAGTTTTATTAACATTACTTCCGATTTAACTAATGATTAATTTTGTTTAAATCTGAATACTTTTTATGCTTACAGGTAATCGACGATGCATAAAGAATTTAAAATCAATGTACAAAAATTCTTAATAAAAATAATAAAATTGCGTTCTATAATATTATGATTTCTAATTTTGTATTTATATTAAACATAAGATTTATATTAAAAATGAGAAATATAATTTAGTAGGATTATTAAAATAGAAAAAAATTAATTGACAATCAATGCACTTATAGTACCAATATAATGAAATGATAGATTTATATCGATAATATTTTGAAAATATAAAATGCTTACAACTTATATAAGAGTGCACAAGCATTCAAAAACACATTAATTTAAACATTTAAAATTATTAACACAAATTGCAAAATCCAAATGTACAAAAATCCAAAAGCAGTTTTGTTCATAATTTTTATATTTCTTTAGGTTTGGAAGGCTTAGATTTACAATATTTCTATACGATTATTATATACTAAAAATATAATTAATTGGCCTTTTGATCGAAAACAGTGATACATGACAAATAAAAAAATTCCTGAATTAATCGTATTCTCGCATTATATTTTCTAGAAACTTGTTTGTACGGATAATACGTATATGTACGGATATACATAAGCATAAATTTAATTTAAAAATTAGTATTGTGTAACTTTTAAAAAAAAATTCATTCTTATGCATAATACAATCGTTTTTTATGATAAATAAAATCAAATATATTGCATTGTATATATATAACATTAAAAAAGATGCTTTTACGAATAATGTGCTTACTTAAATTTTTCATGACTTATAAATTTCGTTTTAATAAAAATGAACACCTATTGTAAGATTTTAAATATTAGTATTAAAATTATGTGTATATATAAATATGTATATATATGTATGAAATTCAATTATTTGAATATTTAAACTTGCTTAAAAGATACATTCGAAACTTTCACAATAAATTATTTTTGCACATTTAATATTTAAGTTTTTAAATCATCTATAATATTTGTTTATTGAAAATATCGATATATTTAAAAAAGTCGACCGATGGTTAACGCATTTGTTATTTTATTTCTATTGTTAGTTTAAAAGGAGTTATAATAATGCTCTCGTTCGATATTATGATTACATCGAAGGAGAAAAAACTCGTTGGCACTGTAAATTGGCAGTTGCTAGGAAAAGCGATATTTTGACGTACATTTTGGCGGAAGGAAATACGCGATGTACGCGAGGACAAAAAGAAAGGCAGTTGAGAGTACAAGATATATATATATATATATATATATATATATATATATATATAGAGAGAGAGAGAGAGAGAGAGAGAGAGATAGAGAGAGATGCCTTCTCTGAAGCATTCTCTGAAGAATAGAGAGAGAAACTCCGGAGCGTTGGTTGCAGATATGAAAGGAAGTGCTCCTTCCCGCTCAGAGGACAAAAACTGCAAGGGAAAAGAGTAAGACGGACAAAAGAAGGTGCTCACGGCCTTGTCGTGCATGACACCTCAGCCTCGGAAAAAGTGTACTGGTGAATGACTTAGGTAAAGTGCACTACTGCTAAGAATGCTACCCTGTTGTTCAAATATCAAATATATAACGACGGTATAAAAAAACTCTTGTTCTCTCGAATCTACTTTTCGAAGATTCAATATTCATTGCGCATTCAATATTTTAATTAACAATGATATGTAATCCATGACCTTCAAATATCTATATTTCGTCGAATATCTTAACTTGGCATTTTAAAAGCCATTTTAAAAGTTTATAGAGAACCATAAACTTTCTGCATTTTTTATTTTTCGTTAGGAAGATACTTTGAAGATACTTTGAAGATAATAGAAAAATATTATTGAAAATTTGAGAACTAAGATGACAAATTTGACGTAATATTACTGAATGTTGACCCAATCAATCAAGCATCGTGTTCACAAATCGTCTTAAAATTTATTATCAACAGACGTATATGCTTAAGGAATTGCTCAAAGCCCGGAAAAGCTATTAGTTAGGTAAAAAGTGGAAAACAGAAATTTTAACAGTTACGAGTCACGATAAACGGTAAAAGCTCGGGTTGGTTAACGGTACGTTATTTACGATAATGATATAAAATCCAAGTGGTGCGCACGCAATCGAAGGTGGGGCTGGGGAAAGCTCATTGGGAAATAAGATAAGAGGTGAAACGGGGGAGGGCATATAACCATAAGATCGGGAGACGCGCAATAATTCAAGACCATGCAAGTAAATAATCTGACTGCCGTGTGAAAAACGCTACTGTAGGC